ATGGGTGGCACGTATGACTTGTTTTATATCTTTGCCCAATAGGGCCGACCGAATAGCTGCTTCCTTCTCTTTCGGTATCATAACTCTGCCTTGTTCGAATCGGTAGCCTAGAATATCTAGGCTTTCCGCTTTCGTTGACTTATTTGGGTTTATCTTGAACCCACTGGCTTTGAGATGTTCGCATACTCTGTCGTACCGTTGGTTTAGTTCAGCTCTCGAGTTCGCCGCCACAACGATGTCATCTTGATATGACCTAACGTTCACTTGGTCGTCTGTCTCGAGCTGGCTTAAGATAAGGTTCATCACCTGCGCAAAGTGCTTAGGTGCCGTTTTCGCACCCATTGGCATCCTTGCGTAACAGTAACTGTTGCCCGCTGGGTCTAGAAAGCTATAGTACGGTCGTTGGTGGTTCGTCAATGGGACCGCGTGGAAGGCTTTCGAGAGGTCTATTTTCGCTAGAATTCTCTGCCCCATGGCCCATGCGACTACTGGCCCGATCGCTTGCGTACTGGGAAACTTCCCATCCTTGTTAGTGTATGGGTAGAGTATCTGACAATTGTGCGTAACTCTTGTCCCCACCACGTATGGGTTAAGTAAGGCCTTAACGTATGCCTTTCTTATTGGTATGATCGATCCGTCTTCGAGTCGATCGCTGATCCATTCTCTGTATATGCGCGCATCGCTTGGATTCAGCTTAGGAGGAGTCCATCTGATCGGAGGATCTCCCTCCAACTCCTCGTTAAATGCTGGCAGCACCTGAGAGATTTTCTCTCCCGAGCCCCCCTTTTTACTAATCTGTATAGACGCCGAAGTAGACGGTGTATCGCAATCGCTTCTGCATACTTCGCGCACCTTCTGGAAATATGGCTCCGAGTGGACCTGTTTAACCCCACTCTTGCCAACGCCCTATTTGGTCGTCTCAGTCCAGTTAGTGGTGGCTTCCGTCGGCTTGTAACTATTTCGTCGGCTCTTGTTGTAAGGCTTCTTGCCTTTATTATTCGACTGCTGGTTACCATTGCCGCCGCTTTTCTGCTCGTAAGCCTTCTTCGGAGACGTCTGTTTGTTGTCCCCAGGCTTCTTTCTCGAGCTCTTAGCATATATGTTCAGCGGTCGGTCCAGTGTACCAGATTCCATTCTCTTAATTGTCGCGTCTTTGCCGTACGCTATAATGGAAATCAAAAGTCGGTCCCTCTGTCTCTGCGATATCACCCCCTCGTTTCGAATTGTGTCTAAGGCGTCAATCAGCAACTCCGAATTCTCTATCGTAGGATGGTAGATGGCCTGTGATATTATGCGCACTTTCATCTCAAAGAGTTTCGGGATGCTCGCCTTTTTACGCTTGAGTTGGGCAATCAGGGACATCGGGTCGAACATTAAGCTCTCTATATCTTCCACTGCCTCGAACCCATAGGTCTGTTCTCTTTCTCTCTTGTGTGGAGCAGAGTCGAGGCTACTATAGACCGAAGAGTCATCGTGCATAACCTCCTCTAAGCCACGCGGTGGTGGTAAGCGTCTCGCGGGCATGGGTGGTGCTGCATACGACTTCGACACTGACGAGGTTGAGTTCTGCTTCGAGAACGTCGGAGGCCCGTTCTTCTGTGCCTCTCTAAATTCTCTTGTCGTCAGTAGAGGTGTAAGGTCGAGTTGTGGTATGGCCTTCTTCTGAAGCTCACTCACCAACGCTCGAAACTTGCGAACCCAGTCGGGGTGACAGGTGTCTAAATACTTGTCACGGACTTCCACCAGGTCTTCAAGGGCGATTTTCTTCTCGAGTGCCCGTGTTTCGAGTAACTTGATCGGGATCAGTTGGAAGAGCGACATGTCAAGGACTTTCTCTTCCTTACACTTGCGAAAGAATTCCCCATAGACCTGTTCCGGGTCAGTGTTAGAGCGCGTTTGTACCATAATATGTGTTAGGTTCAATGTTCGAATTAGTACAGATCAATTAGTGCAGCCAAGGCTTTTCAGATATTGAAAAATTATATGAGTTTAAATTAAAAATCTTTTTAGGGCGGGAGACGCCGTCTCCTCGAGAAATCATCGGCCGGGTTGAGGCCCCCTGGAATGTAGGCGTACTTAGCCTTATATAGTTGCCTAATCCTGGCCGCATAGATCTCTAAGTCATTTCGAGGATCATCACCTCTAATTAGCCCTTGGTACAACCTTAGGTTGTCGGTAAGAATTATCTTCTCGCATTCTTCGTCGATGTGTTGGATATGCGCCCTGTACTTTACTAAGAGCTTATAGGCTCCCTGTATCTCTTTAAACGAGGCGAGGTTCGTCACGGTGTGTGTCAACGGCAGTGACTCCTCGAGAACGCAGTTCCCATTATATCGTACATGCAGCCCTGCGGCTGTGTCCGACGCATCCACAAAGATCTCGATTCGCTTAGCTTCCCATCGCGTATCTCTAGGGCACTCCCATTTCACATCTAGGGCTTTGCGCAAGTCCCTAGCTACTTGTGTGAAATGCCCTACTTTGAGTAATATTTGCCTGAGCTTAGCCGCCGAATCGCGTTGCGAGGGTGTCAGGATAACTTTGTAGTATCCCAGCTGATGGGTGGCACGTATGACTTGTTTTATATCTTTGCCCAATAGGGCCGACCGAATAGCTGCTTCCTTCTCTTTCGGTATCATAACTCTG